CCCCCCCCCCCCCCCGCCCCCCGGGCACCCGCCCCCCGTTCCCCCCGGCTGATATGGTTTGCAGAGGTATTTCTGCTCAGGGGAACACCAAGTTAGCGTATTGAGCGGAGGTCAAGCGTGCTTTCAACTTCATTGGGATTGGCAAAGCAGTGGTAGGTTCCCCCGCCGTTGCAGGTATGTGCCCTCTGTGAGAGTTGTAAGTTGTTGTATTCTTAATCATTTTAGTCTGCTCGCTGGCGCTGTACACCGATGTTGTGGAAGGCGGGCGCCATTTGAGAGTTCCGTTTTCGAACGCTTTAGTGTGTAGAAATAATTGTAGTCTGCTCGATAGGACTGTCATTGACGTTCCTCAGGAATGAAGCGACAGTGTGTGGCTTTCGTGTTTCGTACCAATTCACCGCATAAAGTTTGTTTCCAATTGGATTTCTTGCAAGGTGGCAGTTTTCACCACGCTGGTCTGGTGCTGTAAGCAAGCGTCCTTTTTCTCTCTCTCGCTCTTCTTTCTTCCCACTGGCTCTCTCCTCCTGACCTTCTCATTTACCTTGCTCTCGCCTTGCCGTCACTACCCCCCTCGCACCCAGTGTAATCTGCTCGCTTCTTTGATCTGTGCTCCTGGAACTCGCATCTTGTCGGTCCATGCCGCAGATGAACGGCTGCTGCTGCATCAACAACCGATGGGTTGCTGAGTGAAAGCGCACGGCGAATGTAACAAAAACCACTCCTAAAGAATGGAGCATCGATCGCCGTCTTTTATCAACCTTTCACGGAGGGCCGGAGTAGAGGCATCCCCGGCTTTGGGTTATCGCTTCGTTCGTATTATTCCCGATGCTTACAGTTCAGCCTCGTAGAAGTGCACTTCCCGGCAGTCGTAGATAAGGCCTATTTCGATCATGATTTCGGTTTCCTGTTTGAAAACCACAGCTTTGTCCGACAAATCCACGTTTTGACCCGTACTACTCGCCACTAGAACTAACATTCACTCTCGTTGGTCTGTAACGATATCTTATCGTATGAGGTATAGGGTTTCGGAAATGATTACCGCTAGCATGCTCTTTTCATAGACATGGGCTTACTTTCGATTTGCCCGTGACAACTGCAACGACCCGCAAACACACACACGCGCGCGCGCGCACACACACACACACACACACACACACACACACACACACACACACACACACACACAGAGAGAGAGAGAGAGAGAGAGAGAGAGAGAGAGAGAGAGAGAGAGAGAGAGAGAGAGAGAGAGAGAGTCAGAGAGTTTTGTATGATCATAGGCGGAACTGGGAGAAGTGGGAGCGGTGAGGAGGAAGGAGTGGAGTGCATTCGCTGGAGCTTGGCGAGATGTCGTTCAAGATATCTAAGCTCTTGAAAGTTATGGTACACACATACCAAACCGTTGAGCTGTTAGAGTGTGGAGCTGCGGTTCTCGTTCTCACCATCATTACGATACAGGTGGGATCCTTCGCCCCGGATATGACTGCCCCAATCCTATGGAGCTCCGTAGGGATCCTGGTGCTGGAAATAGGATCGAAGTTGATGGGGCTCATAGACAAGGTGTACTTCGACGGCAGGTCTTGTGCTGAGATCGCAAGACGCGAGCTCGGGAGAGATAAGGATCATAAGATAATTAAGATCATGATGGGAACGGGACCGTACTACGGATTTAGTTTTGTTGCTCTTGGAAGTACTATTCGCCTAGGGGATAATTTCAGGATGTCCGCCTACGTGGTTATCAGTGCGTTATTCCGTATTTGTGCGTTGCTTCCCCAGGTATTCCTGGGCGCTTATCTCTATGCAGCTATGCCTGAGCTAAAGAAACATCCAGATTACGGCAAGGACTCGGCCAAGAGGCGCGTGCTCACGAGTTCGTTGTCGTCACGTGCGTTTGTGTCCTAGTACATAGTGTCCTCAAGGTGATCCTTGTTCGGACTAGCATACTGTTCGACTAGGACTGAGGACACACAGCTCACGGACACCCTATGCCCACAGAGCATGGGCACCCAACGCTTCCCGTCCTGGGAAAGATCTAAGAAGATGAATCTGGAGAGGGAGAGCGGGGTGACCTGGTATATACATTACAATCGACATTTCTCTTTCACAGCGGAGCAGGCCCTTTCAAACAAAGGGGACTGCGGGCTTCCTGGTTACTGGTTTCACAGTGTGAAGGAGCTGGTAGATATGCTGAGAGAGGACTTGGCGGACGACGTTCTTGATCGAAGACGAGGAAAGATGTCAAGAAAGAAGATGGACATGGCACTGGAGTCACTGCAAGACCTTTCGAGACGGAACAAGATGAGCTGATGCGAATTGTTCGCCTCAGACGAGATGGCTAAGCACATGCAGGACCTTCCCCAGGCCAGCCGTTGCAAGACAGACGTAGACGCAAGTCGGGATTTTGCTCGTGCTCAAGGGTATCTGGCAATGCTGCGAGTGATAAAGAGCTCCCCACCGAAGTCGGCTTACATCGAGATGGCTGCTTCCATCCTTGCTGGCTTCGCCTCCAGCCTCTCCGTCCTAGCCTGGCAACCAGGTCCTCGAAGTGTCCGTGAAGGTTTCGGCTTCCTTGATTGTACGGACCACTTGCTCCAGAGTTTGATAGAACATTTCTCCGCGAGCGTCTCGGACTCACAGCCCTCTGACAGATGCCACTCTCTCTGCGATATGCTCCTTCGCTCACGCAGCAAGCGACATACATGCGCACCACCATGATCTCAAGACACGTCAACTTTGCCCTAAGTGCCTGCCAAGGGGAGACGGAGCAGTGGAAAGGAGAGACGAAGCAGAGGAAAGGAGAGACGCAGAGCGCCGGAAATACTATAAGATGCAACTGAGCAATAGTTTCACCACGCTATCTCCACTGGGCTGGGCTTTGGAGACACAAATTCCTCTGTTTCATGGAGCCGAGTCAGCGGACAAAATGTGGGTGCGCGCCGTGAAGTCTGCTCTCGGTAAACAGGAAATAGTGGACATCTTGCTCGACGCTGCAATCAGCTCGTCAAATCTGTCAAGCTGCGTAGTGACCGACTGTGTCCGGACTCTATCCTCTTTTTGGTCCCGAAGGATGATCAAGTGGCATCGCTTCGATGACGAACTGTTGGAGGATTTCCCTCAGCCTATGGCCTTGATCGAGGAAATGGAGAGGGCGGATTACGTGAGAGCGAAGCTGAAGTTGCTGGTTAGTCGTTTTAGTGAATTTCCTCCTGACTTGATGTTCACGGCACCTTTGTGTAACCTCCACCTGGCTAAGATCCTAATCTCCCAGGGCATCAGGGATGTAGACGCTCAGGTTGCCCAGATTCTGTTGCAGTGTCTGTGCTACTGGAGGCGAGCTTTAGGCTCCAGGGAGCTCGACTGGTTTGCTTGCGAGACCATAGAGACGCTGCGGGATCTGTTTGCCACATCAACGCAGCAGATCTCCCTCATTCGCCAAATCTGGGAGTCTCCAGGTGGGGTCAGCTGCCTAAGACTGATGCTCAATGACAAGGTGAGTGTCAGTCTGTCAGTCCACTTCTTCAAGGAATTGGAGACATTTGATAGACAATTCCTGGCGCACATGTTGGGGGTTTCGAATAGGACTGAGCAACCCTGGGCCTATGATGCAGGCACCCACATCAATCGATGCGTGGCGTCTGCGGCACGACTCTTCTCCGAGCTGATAAAATCAAATGAAGGGTTTGACATCCTGTCAGAGCCAGCAGTCAGTGGGGCATTTTTCAAGACCTTATTCACCAGCTTGCATTTCATACTTCACCCGCAAACAGAGCAGAGGGAAGAAGAATTGTTTTGCCCAGTTACACATGGCTCCTGCTCCTACACAGCGGGGTGGAACACCGCAAGCCGTTTTCCCTTCAATCTTTTCACGTCACTCCTATGTCTCCCCTCAATCGTATCATGGCAATGTTGGATAATGAATAACGTGTGGAGAAATTTTCGTTTGTTCGTGAGCAACTACATAATCGCGATACCAGCTGGAGCACTTTGAGAGGGCAGTGAACAAGCTCCTGGCGAGGGTGTATGCAGCACGCATAGCCTTTTCCATCGTCCATCACTCTGCCCACCTATTGGAGAGTAATCACAATTTTGTTTTCCATCATCTGCTCAACATTCTCTTTCCTTCTCTGGTCAAGCATTTTGTATTACGTGGAGCCTTCCCCACGCTGCCAACGTGCCTAGGGCTTGATGAGTGGCAGAGTCGCCTGCATGAGGAGGTGGACAGTCTGATTGCTAAAGTGCTCATAAGGGTTGCCCCGTGTGCTCAAGTGCATGCATCATCGCCTGAAAGCAGCCCTCAGATGAGACATGCCTTGGAAGATCTCTACCGGTGGGCAAGAGCTCTGCGCTACGGGGACGCGGAGGAGAGGCGACAGCGCCCCGATATCACAACGCTTGTGGAGCTTGTGGATGGTCTGAATCCAGGTGCACCTGCCAGTGGAGCTTGTTAGTCTATGCCTCTATGATTGAACCATTAGAGTTTCGGTGAGGTGAGCAGAATATCTGATTAGAGTTGTAATCCATGTGGCAACATATTAACAGCCTAGGGAATTCTTATATATCCCCCCCCCTGCAAATTTAGTGCAAACCCTTTGCATTTGCTTGCCCCCAAACAGGGCAAAAAGTGTGGCAGGCCCTGAAACGGATTTTCACTTCATTTTCGCACCCCCGTGGTCAGGCCCACCTACTGCAAATGTTGTAGTTGTAGTTGTTGAGTGAGTGACACTCCACTCTGCCAAAGATCCTGGATTCCTGGGATTCCTGGCCAGGTGCACAGTGAAAGGGGAGAGAGTGTTGCATACTCGTGAAACACAGTCACAAGTATGGCGCAGATTCCCAGAACTGACCAGATAATACAGAGCTGATACAAACACAGCGGAAGACTTGAGATACATGGACTGACTCTGACCTGACTCAGACTGCAATAGAACACTCTCAATCATACATCAGGGGTGTGAAAGCCCTGGACTTGGACATAGACGAAAGGCCAGGGTCTGAGATCATCCACGGACGAATGGAGGGAGGAGAGAGACGAAGGGAGGAGGGGAGGGAAGATGACGTCAACTCAATGTTTCCAAAGATAGTATCTCGAAATGTCAGAGGTAGCGAGAATCCGAAATGTCGAGAACACAGTGTCTCACAATGTCTCAGATATCGATCTCACAATGTCTCAGATATCGATCTCACAATGTCAAGTACATCTCTAGAGGAAGATGAAATCAGATCCCACGAGTAATCCTCAACCTATAGTCCCAATGTCGCTGTCTCCAATGTCATCAGAATTCGTAACCATCCTTCATACTTGTAAAACTCCCGTAGGAGAACCCAGGAGTAGACTTAGACTGAGAAGTTAGGAGGAGAGAGAGAGAGAGAGAGAGAGAGAGAGAGAGAG